CAACATGTCCCTCAACATGGTCACTGCCAGGTCTCCAGCTCTGCTCTGGGCAGTGTGGGGTGACACTCAATCGGCAGCTGCCAACAGGAAGCCACCACCTACAGTTTTCTAAGTTGTGCTTTCCACAATTCCAGGGGGTGCCCTGCACATTACAGTCACTGTAAATTTGTAGAGCTATCACAGTTTTCCAGAAAATGGCATTAAAATGTCTGGAGGAAGAGCGTCTTTTTCTAATTTGCACAAATTACCTTTTGGACTAGTAGCAGATCTATACAAACTTGTGGCCAGCTGATGTCTTGTTTGTTTTTTGGCCTGCATTTTTGAAAAAATAAAAACACTGAATTTGCTGTCCACATTTTAAAAGTGGGATAGTGCACATTTAAAAATTCAAGAGTTCCAGCTTTTCTTTTTAAAAGATCAAGACCTGGCCACACCAGTCCTGCATCTCTGCATGATAACTGGCTGGAGCTGAGCGGCAACCAACCTCTCCAGACGGGACGGAGGCTCTCTCCAGTTTATCTGTCTCCACCACTTCCTGTTGTCTCCCAGACACTGGTGCCAAGTGTTGGTTGCCATTTATCAACATGCTTGTGCTTTTGTTTCTCTCAGAGTAGAGAAACATTCTCAGTTTTCCTGCTTCTCCTTATACCTGGCTTGCCTTCTGCATGTATCGTTATCTGTTGGCCTCTGAGGGCCCTTGAGTTTGCAACTGTTAGTCCAAACCAGGTCTGAGGAAGCCCACTGCAGCCTCCTCTCACCTAGTGTGTTCTCTTTCCTGTTCCATTGCAGCAGCCACAGGAAACCAGCCCGGGGGGAACCCCGGTCCAGGAGGGGGCGCACCTGCATCCAAGTCCTGCTGCATCCAGTAGCCCCAGCGGGAATCTGCCGACCAGCATGGCACCACCCTTCCTGGGAAGAGATTACCCAAGCCAGTAGAAAACCATACACCTTTTTGAGAAGTAAAAGAGTCATAGGATTTTAAAGCTGAAAGAGCTTACACCTCATCTAGTGGTTTTCAAACTTTGTTTTAGCCTTGAGAAATTTTATTGAGCTAAAACAAATATTCTAGCTTTCATAGACATCAGTTAAACATTTAATTAATGCTAGGTTCACCTGCTTGGGTAGAATCACTTTTGTTCTCATACTTCCATTTAATGTTTTATTGTAAAAAAATTCAATTATTCTCAAAAGTAGAGACTTGTACAGTAAGTCCCCACATACCCATCACCCAGATTCAACGTATCAAGATTTGCTACATTTGCTTCATCTCTCTCTTTTTTTTTATTGTACTTTAGATGGTTTACAGAGCAAATTAATTTCTCATTAAACAATTAATACATATATTGTTTTGTGACACTGGTTGCCAACCCTGTGACATGTCAACACTCTCCCCTTCTCGACCTTGGGTTCCCCATTACCAGCTTTCCTGTCCCCTCCTACCTTCTTGTCCTTGCCCCTGAGCTGGTGTGCGCATTTAGTCTTGTTTTATGGGCCTGTCTAATCTTTGGCTGAAGGGTGAACCTGAGGAGTGACTTCAGTATCTCTTTTCTTTTTTTCTTAGCTAAAGTGTTTAAAAGGCAATCCCAGACGTTATATCATTTCACCTCTCCATAACACATCTTTAAAGAAGTATGGGCGTTTTCTCACATAACCACACCATTATCACATGTAACAAATGAACAGTGATCTCTTGTTCGTGGTGGATGCTGCAATGAGCTGCCCAAACCCCTCTTCAGTGAAGGACTTGTGGGCCTCGTGGCCATGCGCACTGTTGGCAGACAAACCTCAGACAAGCCCCTTCAAGGATTGCCTCCTGCAGGGAGCTGCTTTGCCCAAGGTCATGCCCTTTCCCAGGGTGGCCCACACCCAGTGGCTGACCCATGTCAGGTGTAAAGGCCAGGCCATCTTGGCCCAATACGGGACAACTCTGAAGGGCCATTCTAGCTCCAGAACTCCCCATGGAATTCACCAAGGCTGTCACTGGGCTTGCACTGCAGCTCGACTTCCCCCTCTGCCCCTCCTACTTCCTTCCTTCCTGAACTGTTTGTAAACTACTGATCTACTCTCACTTCCCTATTTATATAAACAAGGAAACTGGGAGCCAGTGAGGATGACAGTGTTGGGCCAAGTTCATGGTGCAGCTGCCTGACTTCCCTCCAGAAGCAGATGTTCAAGGTCACAGAGAACACAGTGTACAGAGCATACATCCCCGTGACTTCCACAGCAGATCAATCTGGCCTCCTGACGCACGAGCCCTGCCCATATTTCAGGCCATGATGTCAACAGGGAGCTGGGTCTGGGACCATCTGTTAACTCCCAAGCTAGATTTTCTGGCCTCCTGAAATCTACATTCTTGCAAGCAGCAGCATGTCCCTAAGCACATCACATGCGGTCGCTACGTGACAGGGTAAAGAGAAATACGTCACCCAGGTACAAGCATTGATGCTGCTCGTCCTGGCTCTGCCGCTACATTTCTAAGTCCCTTGAGCAGGTTCCCTCTGCTCCTTAGCCTTCCCCACCTATCAGAAAGAAGGTCATAATCGTTGCCATGCCTCTCTCACAGGGCTATGGCTAGCACGAGACCATGCACAGTGGGATCACAGCTAACACTTACACAATGTGCTAAGTACTGTTTATGATCTGATCTCATCCTCACAATGACCCCATAGGGTAGCAATTGTTAGTAGCCCCGTTTATCAAATGATGGCGTGATGGTTAATGTTATGTGCCAACTTGGCAAGGCTATGATTCTCAGTGGTTTGGCAGACACCATGTAATCACCTTCTATTTTGTGATCTGATGTGAGCAGCCAATCAGTTAAAAGTGGAATTTCCTTGGGGGGGTGTGGCCTGCCTCCAATATATAAATGGATGTTCTGGCAAAAGTTCACTCTCTTTCTTGACCCTGCGCTCTTCTTGTCACCTGAGCTCTGGTTCTTGGGATGTAGGCCTGGGAAGTCTCTGGCCTACTGCCTGACCTGCAGATTTTGGATTCGTCAGCCCCTGCAACCACGTTGAGCCAGCATTAGTCTTTAGCCTGTTGCCGGACCCATGGATTGGGCACTTGTCAGCCCTGACAATTGTGTGAGCCATTTCCTTAAATTTCTCTCTACATATATTTATATACGCTTCATTGGTTTTGCTCCTCTAGAGAACCCAGACTAAGACAGATGGGAGTGAGACTCAGTGAGGTTAAGAAACCTGCTCAAGGACACCCCGCTGGTGAGTGAAGTCAGCACTCAGAGCCCAGCAGCCCGACAGCAGACTCCAGCTTATAACCACACTGCTTCCGAGAATTAGCTTTTTTAGAACATAAAGGGACCTTTGAGTCTCACTAAGCCGATCACCTTGCTTCATAGCCGGAGAAACCAGGGGTCAAAGAGATGGCTTGTCCCAGCTCATACAACACAGAAGTGGCAGAGCTGGGTCTCAAACTCAGGTCTTGAGGCTCTCAATCTGCCGTTAAGATTCCTTGCACCATTCAGCTGATTATTTTTGTGGCTTTTGGCTGGGCTGCCTTCCTAGCTGTCCACAGTTATCAGGCCATGGGGTCAGATTCACTCAGTCACCTAACCAGGAACTCCTGACTGATGGGGGGAGGGTGGGGGCTGGGCATGCCCAACAAACCAACTCATCTGGTCATAATCATCCCACACCAGAATGAGAGAAGCAGGGGGAGGGTCTTTTCTTATGTCACCCACATTGTCATTCGCACGTGGCTGAGACCCTCTTGGCTGCCTCTGCTCCTTCCCACATCCAACGGAGAAGCAGTCCTGCTCTTCTAGAACTTACCATCTAGTGAGGGGGTGACAGGTACCGAGGAATCAGTCACACAGATGTCCTCACGAATGACTGTAATTCATGCCAGAGAAGCCTGCCGTTAAGTGAAAACATCCCCATTCATTTTAAAGGGAAGAATCATGGTGCATTCCCCTCTAGCCTAAGAAATCCAAGCATTTTTCATAGACTGGAAAAATCAATCTCCTGAACAATGAAAACGAGTCTATATAATAGACAACAATTTGAAAATAGTTTGTACATAACATATAGTACATAACGCAAAATGCAATGGTTTATTGTACCTGTTCTTTTTTGTGTATAATCTTCTTCACCAACGTTTCAACCCCTTTGGGGTTCATGGGTACCTCTGCACTTAAAAATAAAGGTTAAAGCACAAAAATATAGCGTTAGGGCAAAGTAAAGTCTAAATACAAGAGTGCTTTGAAACATGAGGAAATGACATGTGTATAAGACTGAGTCTTAGAAGATACCACTTCCTCCTCCCTCTCGCTGGAGAATGCAAGCGAAGGAAAATGTTTCCAGTTCGCTCAAATGAGGTGCACAGTTCAAATCTGTTCTATGGCACGCTGACCAGAAACATCTTTGTAATTGTAAATCAGTGAATATTTTTGCTTGAAATTACAATGTCAAAATATCTCTTTTGGTACATCTATTTAGTGTGCTTGTATCAAAATGTTGACATACCAAAACAAAGGAGTCCTGGTTCAAAAAGCAGTGTTAACTTCACAAACCCAAAACCCAAACCCAGTGCTGTCGAGTTGATTCCAACTCATAGCAACCCCATAGGGTTTCCAAGGCTGTAAATCTCTTTGGAAGCAGACTGCCACATCTTTCTCCCGTGAAGCCACTGGTGGTTTTGAACTGCCGACCTTTCGGTTAGCAGTCAATCACTTTAACCACTGCACCACCAGAACTCCTTAACTTTATAAAAGTCATGGCAGAAAGTCATTAACGGAACAACTGTTATGTGAGGTAAGTCTGCATGGTCACTTTTTTTCCTCATTGCCATCAAGCTGACTCCTATTCATGGCAACCCCATGTGTCAGAGTAGATCTGTGCTCATATGGTTTTTAATGGCTGATTTTCAGAAGTAGATCGCCAGGCCTTTCTTCTGAGGTGCCTCTAGGTGGACTCACACTGTCAACCTTTTGGTTAACAGCCGAGCACAGGAACTGTTTGTACCTCCCATGGACTCCCACATGGCCATTATGAACCCCCAAAAGTGTTGTGAACTGATCAAAGTGTGTTAAAAGTGATCAGAGAATATTGGTGGGGTGGGGGCAAACTTTGACTGGGGGCTTTTCTGAGCAAGTGGAATGTCTTCCCCCATTTAGTTGCCAGAGCCACCCCATCAAGCGCATATCAGACCAATAAAGAAAGACACACCCGGGCAGGGCTGTGGGTGGTATTTCCTTTTTAATCTCCATAGTGTATTTGTTAGGTTTATTTATAAGCAGATCACTTCACTATTTACAGTACATGAGCATAGAGATTCTACAGTTTTTGTGATGTAAACAATAACTCCCCAGTGGGAGTTTGAGAAAAGAAGCCAGTCCTGAAGTATTTACAGACGTTAAAATAGAACTTTATACTCACAGAATAATAATACATAGAGCAATTTGGTTAAATTATCTATGAAACTATAGAATCTGACAATGTACAAATACAGGAAAACATTTTCTCATTCAGAAGGTAGACAGATAAATCACACCAGAAATAAAATAGGGACAATGACAACCACAATAATTAAAAGCAAAGAAGGGTTCTTCCTTGCCTCTTACAGATAAAGTATTTATATAAATAAGGACACAACCCAACAAAATGGAAAAAATATATAAAAATCCTCTACCAATTAAAAAAAATAGCAAAACTAAAAACTCGATTCTCAATCATTAGCAGTGTCCTTTAAAAAATTAAAATTTAGCTTTCTATTATAAATAACAAAGCAGATGTGTCCCTCTGTGTAGGTGAAATTCTTGCACCTTTCTCAAGAAATGCATCAATGTAATTCCACACACACACAAACACAGACACACATGCACATACACACACACACAGCCTTACATTCATGCACCCCAGGCTGTAGTTGCCTTGTTGAGCTTCCTAATAAATAATGCCCCCTACGGCAGTACCCCTGGGGATGCCAAAACCTCATAAGTTTAGCCATTCCCTGGTTTGACCCTGTCACAGAGCCGGGGACAGCCCTGGCTCCCTATTGCTCAGAATTCTCTAGGCTGCACGGTCACACTGAGAGAAAAGGATTTCAGTCCAAGTTTTGGAAAAGCCGGAAGGGACCATAGGGATCACCTTGCCCCGTCTATTAAGGCTAGCTACAGACACCATCTCTCTAGAAATCTGGGGTTGGGGAGAGGGATCTTGCATTGGTTTCAACATGAGCAGCTGCCCCTGGGAGAAGCAGACGCTCAAAGCCAATGCTAGCATCGTGGCACAAGGAGGTGGGGTGTGTGTGTGTGTGTGTGTGCGAATTTCCAAAGCAGATTGCACTGAGCTGGACTTCTGGATGGTCATTTTCCCCAGAAACCATCTGGAAATTCAAGTGGTCCTCCTCCCTGCTCCGCTTCAACCCTGACCATGCTCCCCTTGAGATTTCCAACTTGTTTCCACTGGAATCACAACATCCCTCAAGAAACGAAGTTGGGAATAGTTTATGACTTTTTATTCCTAACACAAAAACATATTTGACAAGATTTTTTAAATACAAAAGACAAACAAAAAAACCTGTTTGGCTATTCAGTGGACCATATCAAAGGCCATAGCCAGGCTCCCCACAGAATTCTCACCTCTTGGCTTGTCCAGAGGGTATAGTGCTGGCCACCTAGCAGAGGTTCACTTAACAAGGGCAGCGGCTGGGCTGCCAGTATTGCAGTTACAGTAAACCCCTCCTGGTCACCTGGACACGAGGGTCCACTCCTGTCTCCTCTGCTCACAGGATAGTTAGTGCATTTCTCAGTCTGTGTGAGAGTTTAAGTGGTTGCTTCTGGAGTCTTCTAACCCTAGTGTTACACTGGGCTCTGAACACACAGACAGCTGCACTTATGCCATTATACATCATTCCCAAAGATAGTGTTGGACAGCAAGATGGCGGAAAGGATTTATTTGCCTTCCATCTGGGTAGCTGGTAGATACAATCTTTGGCCACTAGATGGCGATTAGATGTTGATAAGGCAAAGTGCTGAGGTGGGAACTGACCAATCCCCTTCACAAGTAACCAGAGAGCAAGGCTGGAAAAGCGAAAACAGGAGGCTCTTTTAGGCTTCCTTGGAGGATCCTTTGACACCAAGAACAGCACAGAGGGGGTGCTAGCTATATAAACGCCTCTTTGAGGACTGTTGCACAGACCAGGGCCTGACCACCTATAAAGACCGTATTTTCCAAGCCCCAAATTTGGGCAGTTGGATTCGATGCTGCCTCTGGATGTGAAAGGCATTCAGATGAAATGGAAAATCGAAAGTTTCTCCAAATCCTGAAACCTCAGTCACTGCTGCTATACCATTAAAGAAACAAAAAACACAAGCTGCCCTAAACATATGCAGTATGATCGATGCCTCCTGTTGCCCCATATGCTTTACAATCATTTGAAAAGAAATGTGTGAAAAGTTCCTAAGTTAAGCTGTTTTGAAAAAACAAGTGTATTGCTAGTCTGGTCTGAGAGCAAGAGAGATACAGCCAAGTGGTCCCAACATTCGGATTAAAAGATGTTCAGTAGGGATGATGACAAGGCTAACGTGAGATTCGACATCGCCACCTAGCCAAGCTGAGGTTTAACATCTCACCATCCCCACTAGGAACTATGGCTTAGATCTGTCCGGGGGAGACAGCCTCCTCATATAAGGTAATTCAGCCAGAACCGTGTGCATTCGAATCTGCTGCTGTTGGTTACCTTGCAGAGAACTCTCACCCTGAACGTGAGCTGGGCACGGCCAGAGTATGAAATTGGTTTAACGGGCTAGCGATGGCTAGGATGGGAATCTGAGCTTATCAGAAGTGGAAGGGACTTTAGCGTTCACCCCAATCAACATTGTAATTTGCTAGATGAGGAAACTGAGGTCCAAGGTTACACAGTAAATACAGGAACAAATCCCTTTGCATTGGGGTTTTTCACTCTGAGATGGCTTACAGTTAAATGATTTGCCCTACAAACCCAATCCAGTTGGCAGGGCTATTTTTATTACAAAAGTGTGTACCAAGATCTAAACCCTGTTTCTAAGGCCCTCAACAAAGAGATCAGCAGGGGGCTGGCTCGAGGATCAGCTCTCCTGCTGCTGTCATCTTGGAAGGCATCTCTGAATCCCCCTTCCTCCCAGCATACACACTAGACCCCTGCCGAACACCCTCTCCCAATCCCTGGGAGTGGACTACGCACAACCAAAGGAGAACCATATTTGCCAGTGTAGAGACACAGAACCAGGCTGAGGTGGTACGTATTTCTCAAAGTGCTTGTACTGGTTCAATGCAAAGTCTGCCTCTGTCTACTTCCTGCAGCAGCTCCCTGGGGCTCCCCCACCCATTGTCTGTTGGGTTGAGGGCATTTCTGTGCAGTGGATCTCCCAGCTCCCTTGTTCTTCCTACACTTACCCTGTACCTCCAGACTCAGCAAATTGCCCTGGAGCCCATCTGTGTGTGCAAACACCCTGGGGACTTGGGAACTAGCTTTAACATATTACACTTCAGTACTAATCTGTTCCCTCTGCCCAGGTGTGAAGGGGTCAAGGGGTCCCTTTTCTCTGACCAAGGAAGCCATTAGAAACCAGATGACCTTGAGCTGACTCCAACTCATGGTGCCCCCATGTGCGTCAGAGTAAAACTGCACTCCATAGGGTTTTCAGTAGTTGATTTTTCAGAAGTAGATTGTCAGACCTTTCTCCTGAGCTGCCTCTGGGTAGACTCGAACCTCCAACCTTCAGGTTAGCAGCTGAGCACATTAACCATTTGTACCACCCAGGTTCACTTTATATGCTACTGTACATCCATCCAATTCCTTTCTTTGGTCATATCTGATGCTGGGATACGGGGTTCCCCCAAAGTGAGGGCAGCTGCTAAATCTCAGGTGCAAAGAAAAATACTGCAATTTTGACCTCAGTGAATCAGATCAACAAATCCTCGAGGGCTGACTCTGCTTCACAGTTAGAATGACTTGCTTCTCAGGCTGCAGGCTCAGTAGGGATTTCAACTGACCTCGAGGCCTGGACTGGGCCATGGACCTGGCTGCTGACGCCCTTCCCTGCCCCCTCCACCCACCACCTGCACAGCTTTCTCTGCAGGTACATTGCACAAGTCTAGGAGAAATTGCTCTCAAAAATCAAAAAGCACAGGCTTTAGGCAATGCAAAACTTCTTACTGCATCTCTTCCCATGTCAGGACTTGAGTCCTGAGTCTTTGCAGTTCAGCACATTCCCCATCTCGAAGTCCTGCCTGTCTCCCGAGCCCCTATGACACACAACGCTGCGAGATCTCAAGGCGATTCAGACTTGCAAGAAGTGGGTTTTCTGGCTGGGGGGCAGGGTGTGACGGGGTAAGGGGTGTGGGAGCCTTAGCTACACTCCATCCACTCATATTCTTCACCTCTTTGATGCATTTTCCTTCGGTAACCAGAGCCCTCAAGACTGAGGATTCTGATTCAGCCTTGTATAGACTGCGGAAGGAGATGGAAGAATTCCACTTGGCGGTTGGATCAGACATTTTTGGAAAACACCAGCACGGCACAGAGATGGACAGTACAACCTGCCTGGTGTGGGCAGCTATCGACACAGTCTACAGTAAGCTTTTATGGCAATCACATGTAAACATCATCAAGAGCAAATACTAGGACAGAGCTACAATGAGATGGTTGCCAAAGGCAGCTGCTCCCTCTGGGTTGCTCCTCGATTTGGTGGGAAAGAGACCAAGGTTGACTGGTTTTCCTGGGGAGACCTTGGAGTCTCCTTGGTAAATAATACACAGCACCGAATGAGTCTTCCGAATTGAGACTGTCTGCAGGGTTGGTCAATTTGAGAACTTGTAGCCTTTTATGTATGAGATGGCAAACAGAAACTACGTGATGCCCTTAGTGGCATCCTGTCCCATCAGCGGCCGCAGCCCTGACCTTAAACACATCATGTCCCAATGCCATACTCAGGTCTTCTGCTCTGCTCAAGGGCCAATGTCTAAGTAACTTAGAGTGCCCTGTGTTAATCTGAAGTTAAAGGGAAGCTTCAGCTGACTCAGAAGGGGAAGGGGAGACTTGGCCTCTATCAAAGATCTGCATTTCTTTACTCTAAAGTACCACCAGTCCATGTAGAACCCTTGGCCTAGTGCAATCAAGGAAGAAGCAAATAAGAGGGGCTTAGTCATCATCTAGTCCAACACCTTCTAGCACACTGAGACGCCAGAGAGGGGAAGGGACTTATCAAAGGTCACAAAGTAAGTTCTTGGTGGAGTCAGGACTCAACCTAGCTCTCTAGACTCTTAATCTAGTGCCTTTTCCTACTGGTATCCATGGGGTTAAATCTCAGTTTACTCCTTGCCCCAACTCAGGACCTACAGGAGGCAGAAGAAGGATTTAAATTCTTTTCTACTCCGTTCCATAAGCGTTTATTGTGTGCCTACTGTGTCCTAGACAGTGAACAGGAATAAGAGAATGTTCACGTATGTATTGTGGAAAATCCCTTTTTGGTCCATCCTCATAAGCCCTGCCTTCCCCAAACATGTCCAGGTCTGCTGCTTCTCTCCCCCTTCTCTCACCACCATGAAGGTGTGTGACAATGATATTGGGACTCCTGTGCAAGGAATGGCCTTAGGGAAACTTTCTCTCATAGATAAGGACACGGCAGACAAGGATGAGTTAGACTTGTGGACGGCTAAAACCCAGTTAGAACATGGTTTTGTGTGATGGAAGCCTTTCAAAAATCAGACCAGGATGTCAAAGAGGTTAAACTCAGATCAATTGGTAATGACTGCCCAGACCACCGTGTTGAGGATTCTAACACGTCCAGACTCAAAGAACATGAGTGCTGTGATCCTTTAGTTATGTCTGCCACTGATGAAGATGTGCCATGCATTTGCTATCTTGAACTAGACACTGCCTTAGCAGAACAAACTAAGACTCTTAGAGCTGACAGGAAGGGATCTTAGAAATCAACCTGCCTTATTCCCCCCTCAATTTATTTCATTGAAAACGAAACTGAGGCCCAGAGAGATCAAGTGATTTGACACACAAGATTCAAATTCCCTATTCCTTCTAAAGCTTTCTTTGTGGACTTGGAGTATGTTTACCATCCTGGACAAAGATCATCAGCCTAGCTCACCCACTGAGGTATTTGATAATCTTAAAAAACAAAACAAAACAATAATTCCTAAAGGATTAGACATGACATTAGCAATAGATTAAATTAGCTTGTTCAGTTTAACGAGTCACTTTCAAGGTTTTTGCAAGCAGCAGGACCTTTTTTTCTTCCTTTTTAATGCAAAAACTCCCCAAGGAACCCTGATGTGTGAGAGATGTAGGAGGGGCTGCTCTGTCTGAAGCAGAAGTAATGGCCACACCTGGCCATGCTCTCCTTCATGAACAGCCCCCAAGGCACCTGCATTAACATCCAACTTGGACATGGCTTTGACATCACTCACAAACACAAAGTTTAAAGTAAAGCCCAATTAGAATGCTTTCTAACTTCGAAGGGAATTTGGTGGTTGTTTTTCCATCCTTCCCCCCATTCTGGCTTACCCTGTCTGTCCCTCTTCCCCTAAACAGTTTTACAAATGACGAAGGGTAAAGATGACGGATAGGTTGGTTGGCTGACCAAAAAAGAATGGTTGCTCCCAGATTGTACCACTGCCAGGGATGTCTCAGAAGCTTTGATGGAATGTCCACAGGCTCAGGCAAACCACAGGACAACTCAGGATCAAAGGTGATGGTAAGCCCAGGATACGCACCAGAGTTTGAATTCTAAGGCTGGGGAGTCAGCTGTTGACTTAAACCCCCAAAATGAGCCCTTAGGCTTCTAGTCTGTTGCCCAATTTTGCTGAACTCACTTCTACCTATCCCTGAAACTTTGCTTCTTTACCCCAGTACCTACAGAAGCACAGTGCCAGGAGTCAGGAAACTTGGCCTGAGTTAGCACTTGCCCTCTCCCTGGCTGTGGGACCTTGGGCAAGTCATTTCACCTCTCGGCACACTGCTTTCCTCACCTGGAGAACCGAGTAACACAGCTCACGCTGCCTTCCTCACCTGGAGAACTGCAGTAACACAGCTCGCCCTGCCTTCCTTACAAGGTACATGAGGGTCTGCAGTGCTAACGGACAAGAACACATTCTGTAAATGTGAGCTGGGCACAAGATGGCGACTCTGATTGTAATTTGACCTGAACTTGCTTAGTAAGAGACAGGGCGGGGCTTGGCATGGGTTAATGGAAAAGGCCAGGAAAGCTCTCTCCACTGCTCCTAAGTGTGGCTGTAGGCTGCGTTTGCCCTGGCAACCAGCCTACATCTCTAGGGCAGTCTGGCAAGGGGAGCAGAACAGCTCAGTGGCAAACACCTCATGACAGTGCATAGTTAAGAAATCAAGGAAGCAATACAATAATCCCAGGCACAGACTTCTGAGCCATAAATACATTATTTTAAGGATATACTTTTTTTTCTTCAATTAAAAATGAGTTTATAATCCTGATTCTATTCACAAGTAACAATTTCATCATCACACTACAGACAAGAAATGTTATGGGGAACGCAGCTGCAAGTCTACAAGGGGAAGTCAGTTGGGAAGGAAGGGGAAATGGGTGACTGACCCAGCACTTAGAGGGGCACCCAGGACAACCCATCGGAAGCAAGGACACTAATGTGGCAGTGGAACGTCAACACCTTGGAAACTCATGGACAGAAGCAGCTTTGTTCAATGTAAACATTGAATTTTTTTTTAAAGGGACAGCAGTTTCAAGTCTGTCTCTCACGTGTGTTCTCGTGCGCTCGCTCTCTCTCTCTCCTTCTCATATACTTAATTTCTTTGAAAACGTAAACATATTGGAAGGGCCTTGTCTGAGGTATTGAGGTATTCCTCGAAGGTTAAGGCTGTTATCAATGCAGGCTCTGCTGGGCCTCCTTCAGTAAGCTGTCAAAATCCATGGCTTCATACTTGTTTTTCACTGACGTGGGAAGGGCCTCTTCTGAATTGGAATCTGGGGAGGGGGGTGGAGGAGTCAGTGAGAGGAGAAGGCAGTGAGCAACTGAGAAAGGTCAGACGACTCAATCATCTGACACAGGGTCAGCCCCATGGAGGGGACATACCCACAGCCTCAGAGAGGAGGAATGAGCGCTGTGTGGTCTCAGTGACTCAGGGCCTCAGCTACCCCCTTTGCAGAATGAAGGGGGTCTGAACTAGACCACCTCAGAGCTCCTCTCCAGCTCTGACACCCTATAATCCTATTTTCCTGGCTTCTCACCCATTAGTTTTCTGTTGTAGAAGTCACAGAATAGAAGCCAACAAAACTAGAATGGCCTCATTGTATACAAAGGGAAACTGAGTCCCATAAATGGATACTCAGCCTGGTGAAACATTGTCTAACCTGCAGCCCACCCAAGTCTCCTGACACCCAGCCCTGTACTATGGAAGCTGTACCAGATTGTCCCCCCTCCCAAATAATTCTTCCCTAAATTTTACTTCTTTGCCCTTCTTCACCAACTTGTCCCTAAATGTAAAACCATGGTGACAGCACTGGTTCTATCAACTGGTGGAAACACAAGACTGGACCCTCCAAAAGGCCATGAGAGGCATGAATCTCTGTTTGGTGCCAATCCTGGGATGGGACAAGATGAGCTAGAGACTAGAAGAAAAACAGGATGGTACCCTCCAGGCAAAGTGGCTGCAAAGTCATACCAGTCGGCACTTGGGGACCTGGGTGTGGAAGCCATGTCCACAAAGGGCTTTAAGTCTGGGCTTCAGTAAAGCAAGTTACTATCCCTCATGCTTTGGGTGTTGCCAGACTGTGGCGAGGCCTTGTGTGCTTACCGTAGTCAGTGTATCTGGGCCAGCAGAAGTGCTGGAGCCCTCCATAGCTCAGCTGGAAGGAGGGCTCATTGCGCTTCCTCAGGGCAGCGCCATTCCTCACAGAAAGGGCGGCGTGCTCAGAACACCGATAGGTGATGAAGCCATACTTCTCGCCTCTGCGGGGAGAGGACAGGGGAGCATGTCACTAGGCCGGCTTGTTGGGCACTGTCATACCACCCACTACTAGATGAGGAACAGAAAGCCGCAATGATACGGGAACCAGGTCCCCCAAGTAGAGATGATGACAATCGCTACACTGACCTCTGCAATATAATAAGAAAAGCAGCTAATCCATTGAGTTTGCCAGGTGTCAGCCATAACACACAACCTTCCACCATCTTCAGACGACCCTGTGATGTGGCTACCGCTGCTACCTCCACTTCACAGAGAAGAAAGAGGCTCTGTGGAGTTCAGTAATTGGCCCAAAGGCAAGTGGTAGTGCAGGGATTCAAACCCAGGCCTCCCTGACGTTAAGCCAATGCTCTGAACACTTCCCTTTGTTTCCCTCACTACTCCTGCTTTCTTGGATTTGCCACACCTACTCCATGGTTGAAATTCTGTGCATCCTTCAAAGTTGGCCTCAGATATCACTTTCTTGGCTGCTAACTTGGCCTTCACCTTACCTACTACCACTGGTATTTTGTACATATCTTATCCTTCATGGGAGACATCTGTTATAAAGTACTATGTGGTCAACGCAGCTCCAGGTGTCAGGTAAAGTCATGGGATTGTGGCCCCACCCTGGCCACAGTAATTTGTTCAAATGAGCCTATCACCAAGCTGAACCCCAAAGAATCTACTCTGAGTCTTCACTGGAACAGGGAAGGAGACTCCTGCTTCCCCTGGTAGGAGGTAGGCTTAGCAAGAGGCAGCCACTTTGCCCTTACGAGGAAAGCCTGTTTGAGAATGACGCCAAGGCAGAAGGGGAAATGGTGAGCATACTCGAGTCTAAAGTCAGTTCCACGAACTACGAGAGAAAGAATCCTGACTGACATGTACGCCTGCTAACCTGCAAACTTCTCAAAGGCAGAGACAATGTGTCATTCTCTCCGCTCAGGACAGGCTTACAATAAATGTTCTAATAGATGTTCAACTGAGTCACATTTCCTGACACTGAGCCAGGGCAAAGTTGGAATCCTTCTGCTTCTTTACATGTCTAAAACTGGTAGTGTGCCCAAGCCTTTTCCTTTTTTAAGATCTTGTGTGTTTTTTTTTTTTTGAACCCGCTCTTTTAGAGATTAATTTGCTCCTTCTGTTGTTTAAAATATACATACCAGGAACATTCAACAACTTTTACATGTACAATCCAGTGACATCGATTACATTCTTCAAGGTGTGCCACCATTTTCACCCTCATTTTCTGAGTTGTTCCTCCCTCATTAACATAAACTCACTGCCCCCTAGGTTTCCTATATAACCTTTCAAGCTGCTGTTGTCAGTTTGATCCCATACAGATAGATCTTAAAAGAGCCCAATGCTCAAGGCAGACCTTCTTTATTAGTTAAGCTATTGTTTGGTTTTAAGAAGATTTCAGGGGATGTTTTAGTTTAAGGTTTAAAGATTATTTTGGGGGTTTACCCAGCCTCCATGGTTCCAAAAAGTCTGGATTCCATGAGAATTTGAAATTCCGTTCTGCATTTTTCCCCTTTTGATCAGGATTCTTCTATAGAATCTTTGATCAAAACAGTCAATAATGGTAACTGGACACCATCCAGCTCTTCTGGTCTCATGACATAGGAGGCATTTGTTCATAGAGACAATTAGGCCCACATTCTATTTCCTCCTCCTATTCTTGACTCTCCTTCTTCCTCTGTTGCTCCAGGAGAATAAAAACCAATTGTTGTGTCTTGGATGCCCATCTGCAAGCTTTTAAGACCCCAGGCACTGCATAACGAACTAGGAGCCAGAACAGAAGCACTCAACATGATATTAGGCCAATTAACTGCGATGTCTCACGAAACCATGATCCTAACCCTCTAAACCAAGAAACCAAATCCCATGAGGTATTTGGCTGTACATGAGCAGCCTCACAGCTTCTCTTACTTTGTTGTTGTTGTAAATATATCACACGATTTTTGTGAATTCAACTTTTTATAGGTATACAAGTTATTGACAGCAATTACATTAATCAGCTGTGAAACCCTAACCTTAACCAGCGCGATTTTTCCATCACCGAAAACTGAAACTCAGTGCTTCATGCTCCTTTGTTTTTACGTTATCTCCACCTGATATTCTGAAGACTACACAGAACTCCAAACAAGTTCTATTCTGTGTGATGACTCTTATGCACGAAATTATTTTCTCACGAACGCCTGTTAAGAATTAAATTAGAATTTAAAAACGGTAATAACTTAGTTTGTAGGTATAATGGGAAATAATTTAGAAATATTTCAAAACTGACAAAGTTTTGACATGTAGATTGTGCATACCATTCTTTTTCCAGATCCCCTGACAGATGAAGCGCTGCTTCCCCAGGTGAGTAAGAAAGAGCAGGGCTGCCTAATAGAATGGTCGAACGGGACTCCACTGCAGAGTAACAGAGGGTCGTGGACAGTGTGGAGCTTGAGGGACAGTGAGGTCCCAATGCAAGTGTGCTTCAAGCCAGCCACAGCCGTGCACCCATCACCCCCATGCCCTCCCCCTCCCCTTCCTCACCATCTCCAGAGCTCAGAACCTGAAGCAGACACATGGGCTCCAGTTCTGGCTCTGCCACTAACTAGCTGCTCAATTAAGTTTTCTGAGTTCCCCTAGAAAGGAGAGCAACAGAAAAGAATGAGTACATATGTGTAAGTAGGTTGGAGAGTTTAAATAAGAGAACCCATGGAAACTGCCTGTCACTCTGTTATGGACTGAACTGTGTGTCCTTCACCCCTCCTCTCCGCCCTAAATATAACTGTGGATGTAATCTCATTTGGGAATAGGGTTTCCCTTGTTATGTTAATGATGCCATATCAGTGTAGGGTGTGTTCTAAACAATCATTTCTGGACACAGAGACAAGCACAAATGGGGGAAGACAGATGTCACATGAAGACCGCCAAGGAACTAAGGAACGCTGAAAAAGAAGGATCTCCCCCTAGAGCTGGTGCCCTGAATTCAGACTTCTAGCTTCCTAAGCTGTGAGAAAATAAATTTCTGTTCTTTAAAGGCACCCACTTGTGGTATTTCTATTACAGCAGCACTAGGAAGCTAAGACACACTCTGTAAACAATCAGAACATGTTCGCTGCCATTACTAGGGTTGCACGATCATCATTACAGGGTCCTCTCCGGGACCTAGGTCTAGGCTATGGATTTAGTGAAACTTGCGCCACAAATATTCTAGAGCATCTGCTGGGACTTCCCACTCCCCACCCCCGACTCTGGAAGGACTTAACTGGACTCACCTCTTGCTTCTCGTCAGCACCTGGCACTCTACAATTTCACCAAACTCCTCAAAGCGCCTCTTCAGCTCACGGGAGCTCATGTCGCTGGAGAGATTTCGAACATACACGACCCGGCCTTCGCCCTGCTCGGGAAGGAGGGGACACAGAGGGGCCCAGTCATCGCCTGGTGTCCTGGGGCCCCCTTGGTGGTGGCCTCCCATGGCGTCCTCGTCCCCAGTCATGGCACCGGCTGAGCAAGTGACACTAGGTGGGGCTGGAGTCAGAGAAAGGACAGTGATGATCACTATAACAAAGGACCTGCCCTGCTGGAGGAGAGGACTGTGGGTCAGACAGGGAAGTGGCCCCAAAGGAAGGCAAGTGATTACTTGTAGGACTTGGCAGAAGATAAGCAGAGACTGGGCTGAGGAAGGAGAGGACTTATCAACATTGATATAATGGCACATTCAGTAGCTTCTGCATTTGTGTTTTGAATTTAGGACTTTTTGAATTGGAAGCCAAGTCGTTTGCAGGAGTCCAGGTCATTGGAAGGAAAGGCAATGGAACAGGGGGCATTAGGGCTACTGGTGTCCCTCATGCTCCCATTATCTTTGGTTTTGTTAGTGCAAAGTGGCTGAAGCCACAGTGTAGACACTGGGAAACAAGAGGTCACCTCCAAGTAAACTTGGTGCTAGCCCATGGGCCCCTACAACAGCCTGGCTGAGGGGGAGGGGAGCCCAGGCTGGAACCACCCCTCCTTGACTTGGTCCAGCTAAGCCACGGCTGCTGGCAGAGTCGTTCCGACCTGCCAGAGAATCTCCAGCCTTGTTCCTAGAAACCTGTGTTCCGTGGGCAAAGCCCACAGTTCCTGGTTGGAACGGGCTTTCTTTAGGAACAGGTTACAGCCATTGATTGTCCAGCCACTCCACCCTGTACCACAGATGGCAAGGAAGAAAGCACAGGACTGGGGTCCCCGAGCAGGGCTCTGCTGTCAACAGTCACGTGAACTATGCACCCCACACCACAGTATGTCCTTGAATTCATAAAGCTCCCTCCTGCCTCTGTCTCAAATGCTCTTCTGCCCTGAGTCTTTCCTTGATTTGCTGCTTTTATCCCTCAGGCCTCAGAACCTTAAAGGTGCCCTCCTCGGCCCCGCAGGTAACACGTCCTCCCCACCAGTAAAAACACGACTGTTTATTTTAGTCATGGCATCCATTTCAGAGCACGTATCCCAATCTGTAATTACCCTGTTTATGCCAGTTTATAGAGTCTATTGTATTTCTCTCCCTTCTGCCCCAATCATGGGACTGGGGGACTGTCTGTTGGCCCAGGCCTAGCAAAGTGCCAGGCATATATTAATGGCTGAGTGATCCAACATGGGCTCCAAGAAGACGCTCTCTGCACATCTTGTGGCTCTGAGTACCTGTTTGCACACAGCTGTTTTACCTCTGGGGCTGTGCATACCTCATGTGTACCCCTAGAAGCACCACATTATGGGGGGAATATTAAGTAGGACTCTTTTTGTGCTTCTGTCCTACTTTACCCTGCCCTCCTCTCTAGTGACACAGAAGGGCTAGCTCTGGCTCCCTGTTACAGTGCCCTGATGTATTTTCTTGGAGGGTGCTTTGCAGTAGGTTCACCAGGCAAGCCCTCAAGGCCAGGGCCTGTGGACTAACGCTGGGAGGGAGTTGGAGAGGCGGGTAGGAAGGAAGGGGTAGGCTCTCTTGGTCCCCTAGTGCTGCTGGGGCTGGGGGAACCGCTAGGAAGCACAAGGCCCAACTCCCTTGTGTACAGATGAGTAAACTGAGGCTCAGGGAAGGTGGGAGGTCTGCCCAAGGTCAGAGAAGTTGGTGGCAGGGCTGGTTGTGAATGGTGGGCCTGCCTCCTCGGCCTCGTCAAGGTCCCTACGTCACCAGCAACGACATGCTTCATGGCCAGTTTTGAGCTGCACTTTGCACGGCGCCACCTGTTGATGCCCCTTGGTGGCCCTTGTGCTTTTCAAATGAAAGAACGGTAACTGTGTCCTGCAGGCAGCGGCCCTCCTTTCCCAGGTGGGGGCTGAAGGCGAGAGGCTCACCAGCCAGCCTCAAAGGACTTCGGCTCCATGAGGCCCCCCGCACCTCCTGGCACCCTGCTCATTCCCAGTCATTCCGGGCTCCGGGGCCCCAGATCACTTACAATGGCCTTTTCCCGCTGCTTCCTGGCAAGCCGGACGCTTGGTGTTCCGTCTGAACACGGCCCTCTGCTCTCACATCTGTCAGTGAACAAGCAAAGCAGATGCACTCAACTCTCGGGAGGAGACCGTGGTGGCGGGACAGGGGTCAGAGTTGCTCCAGGAGGCAAGGGATGCTTCTTTGCGGCTTGCTCATGAGGGCAGAAATGCTAAAACGCCCTCCTGCAGCAACCCAGCTTTACCCACTTCGGCAGTGACAGCCAGGGTGAAGTGGGGTGTGAACATTCTGATCTGGGCCTCTCTGGTTTCCCTCTGCCAGCTTCCGGGACTAGACTGCCAGAGCCTATACTGCTAATTATAACCCTTGGACCCTCACTTTTCTATGCCATGAGGGTAAAAAGAGCCCCTTCACATCAGGGCTTTGAACAGGTTCCTTCAGGTTCGAGCCCCTGCTAAGAATTTACATTTCTAACAAGTTCCCAGGCAATACTGATGCTATGGTTACAGACCAATTCTGGGAACCACTAGTAGAGCAGTGGGTCTCAAAATTTATTACACGTAAGAATCACCCGGGCATCTTGTTAAACTGTAGACTCTGATTCAGTGAATCTGGGGTTGAAATGCAAATTCTCAGCAGGGGTTTGAACCGAACAAACCGGTTCGAAGCCCTGCTTCACATGAATTATTTTATCTGACCTGCTGAAAAAGTCCCATGCGGTCTTTGTGTTTTCCCATTTTTCCAGATGAGAAACCTGAGGTTCAGGTTCGATATAGGATTTGCCTAAAGCTAGAAAGCGGGGAAGCCAGAGCTGGAAGCAGGTCTTCTGATTCTGTGCCCATTGCCTCCACTGGTTGGCCCTTAGCCAAGAACAACCCCCTGCCCATCACAGCTCCCAGATCCAGTCAAGCTACCAGGATAACCAAGCCATGGAGCCCAAGGAGCCCAAGGAGCCCCCTGGTGCCACCACCAGTAGCCCCTCTCACCTGCCTGCGCTGCCCCCACTTCTTTACAGGGACAGTCTGTAGATGGAAGGAGCTCGGGGTATGTGACGGGGCCCAGTCCTGGCTCCGCCATATACTGTCCATTCCTCTTGGGAAGTATAGCCCAGAGGATAAAAACAGGGGTTCTGAGTCAGACAGCCTGAGTTTGAGTCCTGGCTCTTCATTTCCCTGCTGGGTGACCTTGGACCAGTTACTTAAACCCTCTCACCTTCAGTTCATCTGTGAAAAAGGGATCATCAATTTTACCCACCTCCTGGGCCATATGTGAGGATTAAATCAGAAAATGCATATAAACGCTTAGCAAAGGCAGGCTCAACACATGTTTGCTGTATTTTTCTATTTGACTCTCTGAGCCTCAGCTTCCTCATCTATAAAATGGGGATAAGAAGCAGATGTACCCTCCAAGTGCATCTGTGAAGTTCAAATAGGGTAATACAAGGGTTGTGGCTTGTGAACTTTAAAGTGCTATATAATAGTATCATCACCTATTTGTAATATAATTAGCAGACCTTCCCCACCTGAGGAGCTTAGAGCAAATGAAAGGCACTGTAGGATTCGGGGTTTGTGTAGTTAAACCAGCTCAAAACATAACATGTCGATCTGTCTGGTAGCTGAAGCACAGGTAAAGAAATGTGGGTCTGGAGAAGGCTGATGACTAGGTTTACCAGAATTACCAGGTACCAAGCTCTGCTAGGCAACTAAGCAGGAACCAAGCTGACCAACTAACTTTCTCAGTGAGCAGAAAACGCTAGCCCTGAGTCTGGCCCAAAAGTGAGAAGAGAAAAAGGAGAATTTTGGGGTTTCTAGAGGGGTCCCCAGCTCCCCTCAGGAAAGCCCACGATACGTGCCCTGCCCAAACACGTGTACCGGCCAGGAAAGGAAGAGGGCCAGCGAGCTCCATCTCTGGCCTTGGGGGACTCGCCTCACCATGAGGAGAGCCATGGTAGTGTTCTGAGCAACCATCACAGAGGAAACTGCCTAAAGTGGAGACGGAGCAGCTTAGTCACAGCAAAGCAAGACTAAAGTGGAACCCTTGACCGCAGAGGGCTGCATGGTAAGCACTATCCCAGAGAAAAGAAGAATGGAGACAGAAGAGAGGCTCAGGGAGGTCTGACAGAAGAAGACTCTGACCGATGGCTCCTGGCTATGGAGAAGGGCTTGTTAGAGACATTGCTAGGGAACACCCGTTTTGAGTAACAGATAGTTCAGGTCTTCTTAACTCAAGTTTCTGGGGCATCTATGGATTTCCTGAAATTACCACCCAATCAGATGTACATGTACATTTTAATGAAGAGAGGGGCCTTTGCTTTAACAAAATTTTGAAACAGTTACGCTCCACTGGTGTAGCTATATTAATATACTACCTAAACCAAACCCACTGTTACTGAGTTGATTCCAACTCACAGCATCAACTGTCCCATAGGGTTGCCAAGGCTGTAATCTTTACAGAAGCAGACTGCTACACCTTACTCCAGTGGAGCAGCTGATGGGTTTGAACCACCAACCTTTCAGTTAGCAGCCAAGTGCTTAACCACTGTGCCACCAGGGCTCCTTATATAAATACAAAGCTGCCCTTTTCTAAGAAAGGATATCTTTATGTCACCTGAATTCTGGTCTCAGAATATGGTACTCTGGGGATATCATCATCACTTGGGAACTTGTTAGAAATGCAAATTTGGGGTCCACCCTAGACCTACGGAATCAGACAGTAGAGCCAGCAATCTGTTTTCACCAGGGCTTCAAACCAGTTCAGTCACAGCCGGCGAAGCGAAAGTGGAACAGACCTGAATTTTTACAGTTTGGGTGATCCAGAACGATAGCCAAAATGGGAAAAATTACAAGTCAAAGTCCTGGAATAAGAAACCCAAAAGAGGTGCATCGAGCCCTTTGAGAAGCCTGATGCATGAGACTGGATTATTATTAGCAGGACTGTGGAGAGCAACACACATTCAAAGTGGCGCAGTCTGCCACCATCTTTGAGTGGGGCACTGCTGTTTCCCACTCGCTCAAAATCAGACAGGCGAGAAATTTGATTGCTACGCAACATGTACATCGTTCTTGTTTTCTAAGAGGGAGATTAGGTTTATAGCATGGCTTTGACCCGAAATTTCTCTTTTTCCAATTACTGTTCCAGTTCACTCAAATTTCTGAAATTCGGGCCTGTTTTGGTGTCACTTGCTTGGCTACGACTGAACCGCCCAGGACTGAACTGGGAAGAACCGGTTTGAAACCCTGGTTTTAAATGACCCTCCAGGGGCTTCACCTGCACTGCTCTTGACCCAAGAGCACCATCTAGTGGTCCCTCAGGTAAATCTCAGGCATATGGTCCCTCCTCAAGCCTCCCCCTGGAAAGAATCAGGCCCTGCTGTGATCAGAGATAAGCAACCAGTCCCCACCAAATGTGCCAACTTCATTATTTCTGCCCAGCTCCCCAGCTGACTTTTGGACTGGCTCCTTCTCCAGTCTGGTTCAGTGAGCAAAGATGGTATGAGCCTACAGGCTCATGACACATCATTCCTACGCCAAGGTAGAAGAACTCTTGGGGGTGCTGCCTGCTGGAAGTCACAGTGGAACTCAGCAGGATTGAGAAATGGGAATAGATATTACCACTGTTTTAAGTCCAGGTTTTTTCCCAAACACAGATTAGAATTATGCCAATTTTTCTTATACATGTAAATGTCACATAGGTTTTAAAATGTGTGGGGATGGTGTTTACACAGAGCCTATCTATTGTACAAATACAAAAGCAGAGATGCAGATGAACGATAGATAAGCTCATTTAGACATGAGGTCTAAGTGCCTGGAAGTGGTTTGATTTCTCTTGGGGGCCAGGGCACTGGGGACACTCCTGGCTGCCATACACCAGGCTTGGCTGGCCTCCATGACTTGCCTACAACTCCCTCAAGAAGGAGAGTAGCCTTCAAGTCCCCTAGCCAGGACATGGGCCATACAGGGAGATGCAGCCCTGGTTTGAGAGCATGGATCACAGGGTTCCCCCCTTTCCTGGCACCCCAGGAACCAGGGCCCTCAGCTGCCCACCGTCCCTCCTGAGGTCACCCATCCATACCTGAAGTTCCTCCGGGTGGCTGGTGACCGGGAGCGGCAGGAGGAGGAGCCGGAGCTGGAGCGGCTTCGAGAACAGAGCTGCCGACTGGCCTTGCTTGGTAGGCTCTGGTAGGGGCAGTGGTCAGAGCGTGGGGGGCTGGCCCCTGAGTCCTCCTCATTGTCCTCCTCCTCCAGGAAGAAGCTGCTCTCACTGCTGCTGCTGCTACTGTCCTCAAAGACGGTGTCGTACTCAGGGCTCTTGCACGAGGCCACGTCTTCATCCTCCAGCGCGCTCTCCAGGAGCCCAAAGTGCTTGGTGAGGCTGGCACGGATCTCGTGGTCTCTTAGCAGCACACTGTCCTTGGTGGGGGTGTTGGCATCACAGCTCCTGTTGTCCTCCCTGACACAGGCCAGCGCCTCAGCCTGTGGGGCACCTTGCTGGGACCAGTCCTCAAGGTGCACCCCAGATGGCTCCCAGGACCTCAGCACCTTCCTCTGCAGGGCGCCCTCTGGCTTGAGCACCTGGCAGTAGTCGTGGTCACCAAAGGAACAGGAGAAGGGACGCTTCTGGCCAGCCTGGGAGGGCGGTGGGGCTGCAGCGTGCCGTAGGTGGGACAGGAGCTCGCTACGCTCTGGGTGCTTCCTTGGCAGCTTGTGGGCAGCCCCTGTGGCGGCTCCAAGCTGGAGGCCTTCAGAGGCGGGGAGGCGGAGAGCTATGTCTTTTCCCGGGCTGTGCTTGATGTCAGGCTTGAAGGGATCCTCCTCTGTGGGCTTGTAGGGGGGCGTGGTTGGTGGGGTGAGTCCTACCCAAGCAGAGGAGAAACACGTGAAGTAGAGACCAATCACTTCTCCAATATACACTAAGACCCTAGTTTGGGATGGCCACGATGTGGCATATGTACCACTACTTCTCCAACCCAACATGACGGCAGGCATCACTAACAGCTCACTGCAGAGCAGGCTGAGCCTGGACTTGGCTTGGGACTCAGTGCTTGACACAGGGCTCTGGGAAGCCATCATCAATCCTTTGGAGTTGGCATGTGACATGAAATCCATTTGCCACCCCTTCTGTAGGCTGCTAATAGTACCCAAAGCCTCCACGTCACCCAAGGTATCTCCTCTTCCTCCACATCCAATCATTCTATGAGCCCTCCCAACTGAAACTCTTAAACGCCTCTGGGGTCTCCCAGAGTAGAGAGGGGGCAGGCATCACAGGTAAAACCCCCCACCTGGGTTTTACCACCACAGTGTCCTTAGTGCTCCTGCATCTGAGCTTGTCTTCCATCCTCCCCAATGCACCACAGGGAACTTTCTACCATGCCCAGCTCTTCCTCTCTGGGGCTCCTGATGCCTACAGGACAAAGATCACACACCTCAGCCCGCACGCCTTGGCCTTCCCAGCTGGTCCTGACCTGCCTTCTGGTCCTCCTGTGGCTGCTCTTTCCTGACCCCGATTCTACCATCTAGCAACACAGGTGACCAGTGCCTTCTGATGCAGCCTAGATATTCACTCCTCCGTGCCTTTGCTCGCGCCGAGTTGGCGACCAGGGGTACCCTTCTTTGTCTTTCCAACTTCTACTCATCCTTCGAGCCCAGCTCAAATGTCCCCTGATCTGGGAGCCAGCAGAGTCTCCCCTGGCCACACCTGTCCCTTCCTCGTGCGGCCAGAGCTCATGCACAGTAAAACCTGCAAAAGCTGGAACCTATGTAAGGCGGAAACCTGTCATAGAAGGAAAACTTAAATACTGTATTTTCCACTGAAAGGAGAGATAGAAAAGTTGTACGACTGCACCCTGTCAAAGGCAGGAAACTTGCGAGGCCCAGAAAAACAAGGCAGTCTGTTGCGTTCTGGCTCTCACAGGTTTCACCGTACATGCTTAGGAACTAGTGCGTATCAAACTGTGCTCGTCATGGTGATGTGTCTCTGTACCCAGGCTCCTCCAGGGCAGAACTCCACTTCTTTCTTTTTTGACCCAGATATCACCTTATGCACCGATTATTGGAGGCTGAGAGGCTGACCCCAGGCCCGGCCCTCTTCATAATGCCCCTACCATGCACCTCAACACCCAGCATGCCCTGTGGAAAAATGACAGGGTAGGCTCAACGGAACACCTCCTCAATGCCAGAGGGGCTGTTTAGTGTGGGAAATTTTCTGCCAGAGGTCTCGCCATCTCCCTCAAGGGCACCCCACCAGCTGGGCCCCTGGCTCACCTGCTGTGCCACAGAGCTCCACTGTCAAGGTCTGCTCGAAGCTCTTCTTGCCAAAAGGAGGGTCGCTGGTGGGGCTGGGGAGGACAGAAAGGGAAGAGGCCAGTCAGCAGCAGGCTCCCACCTCCCTGAGCACTCAAGGCGGGTGAGGGGAGACTGTGATGGACCCTGCTTCCACTGCCCACAGAATTGGGGCCTGGGGAGAATTTGTGGGGGGCCCCATCCTGGCTGTTAAGGACTTCAAAGCTGCACGGCTCTTTTAGGAGACAGAGCAGAGGTATGCTGGAGGGTGGAGAGGGGCGAAGTGTTGTCAGCCATGGCGCAACTGAGGTCCAGAGGGGGAAAGGAACTTGCCCAAAGTCATACAGCATTGTCAGCTCTTCCCCATGGAGAGAAGAAATCATTCCAGTGTCCCAAAGAAGACAGCTTATGAAATGGCCTGAGGCCTTAATTCCCCATCTCTCCCCTGGAGAGATCAGCCTGCAGGAACCAGCTTCTAAAATCAAACACCCCTCTAGGGGAGCCCAGCTTCTGAGGACCCCACATGGCAATCAGGGCAGGGGCCTGGGGACTGAGCCAGGATGGGGGCTGATGAACCACCACTCCACCCCCCCACATCCAACAAGACAAATTCTCATGGAATAATCTACCAATAATGTCTAAAAATCTACCTTTGTGACCAGGACAGCATGAGGCACCTAGAAGAGTCTGAAAAGAAGACAAAAAAGAAAACAAGATTTGCCAACACAGCATCATTAGCAGATGTTTCCGCTCTCGAGGAAACCCCCAAGCTTCCCTTGAAACCGAGCACAGCTGTCTTTCAGGCATGTGACCCAAATGCAAACACCCCTGCAATTTTTAGAGACGGGCAGAACAACTCAAATCCACCTTCTACCCCCAGGGTCCCAGGAACATTAAGGACTGGTCTGAACTACTTGAATTTGCAGAAGAGCAGGTTGTGTATGAGGGCGACCCCTGCTGGCCAAACAAGGCAGCACAGTGTGAAGAGCTCTAGCTCCCCAGTACAGCAGCTGTGGGTTTGAATCCTGGCTCTGCCACTAACTAGACAGATGTAGGACTAACTAGCTGGGCTGATCACAAAATGTCTCTGTGCCTCAGTTTCTTCATCTTAAAACAGGGCTAATAACAGGGCTTATCACACAGGCTTGTTGTGGGGAGTCAATGGAGGTGGCTTGTTGAATCTTAGACCAGTGCCTGGCACAGTAAATACACAATAAATAACCATCATCATCATCATTATCACTATTCTTATAGTTGGAAATTAACAAAAAAGAACAACAACTTCATTGTGGAGTTGAATCTATAGACTCACACCTTCTGTCACACCACCCAGAAAGCCTTCTTGATAGCACTTATCACAATTTGTAATTATCTTCTTTTGTTTACTTTTTTTATTGCCTGTGTCCCCCACTAAAACAGAAGCCCGAGGAAGACAAGCATTTTGCTCCTTGTTCATTAAATGGTGCCTGGCCCATCTGTGACGGAAAAATTCAGAGCTGGATGGGCATATCCTGAAGTTCTGCTTCAACTATCCCAGTGTACAGAAAGGAAAGAGAGCCAGAGAGGGGAAGAACCCATTGCCGTCGAGTTGATTCTGACTCATAGCGATCCTATTGGACAGAGTAGAACTGCCCCATAGCGTTTCCAAGGAGCGGCTGGTGCATTTGAACTGCTGATCTTTTGGTTGGCAGCCTAACACTTAAGCACCTTGCCACCAGGGCTCCAAAGAGAGGAAGGGACTTGCCCAATATAGCACAACACATGGGGGTGCTTGAACACACAACTCCTGGCTCTTGTCCAGTGGGGTATGTCTCACCCCATCCCTACCCCCTCTCTTGCAGGCCACCAACTCTGACTACCTCTGGAAGGGAGCCGTGGGCAGCTGGGGTCCTCATCCGTATCCCCACACCCACTCTCGCAGGGGCTCTCCAGAGCCGGGATCTGGGGTCCCCGCAGGAGCTGCTGGTCTTGGCCACTGTCCTCATCCGTGGGGCTGCTCAGCTCCCCCTCCATGTCGTAGGCATCGGGAGCCAGGCACAGTGAGGGCAGAGCACCTTGGGGCTCTGCAGGGACCAGGCATTCATCAGTGAATGTCAGCCAGGGGCCCAGCTCAGGGTTCAGCCTCCTCGAACGCCGCACGGGGCACACAGAGCTCTCTAGCTTCCTGCCCAGCTTGGTCCACGGTAGGCCTCGGACTGGCCTTTTCCTGCCCCACTCCTCCTCTTCCTCCTCCTTTTCTTCCTCCTCCTCTTCCTCTTCTTCCTCCTCGTCTTCCTCCTCTTCCTGCTGCAGCCTGGCAGACCGGTGGGCATCCCCTTTCACCTCCAGCCGCAGCGGACGCAGGCTCGGTCTGGGCCCCATGCTCTTGGGTGAAGCTGCGATCTTCACCTCCTCCACCGGAGATGGGTGGCCAGGGGAGGCCTGGCTGTCCTTGGGGTGCCTGGGCCTCGGCCGGGGAGTGAGGGAGGCGTAGACAGGCGTGGCCAGGCGGTAGGGTTTGCTGACATCACAGAGAACATCTTGAGCCAGAAGTTCCCTCAGGATGGAGAACTCAGCCCAGGATGCTTTGGAGGGGTGCCGGGACTGGGGCCGGGCTCTGACCTGCTTGGAGGGGCTGCTGCAGGGCTGGGGAGTGGGCTCTGGGGTCTGTGAGGGCAGCTTCCTCTGGGGGAGGCAGTAGGTGTGCATGTAGCGAATTAGCTGCACCATTGCCTGCATGTCCTCCTGGGAAACCTGGGCACTGGGGCCTGCCCTGCCTGGCGCTGGGGAGTCCCGGGGAGAGGCTGGGGCTGGCCGGGGGCTCGGGCAGTCCTCACCCGGCTCCTCGTCCTCCCTGGCAGGGAGCCAGGGACTCAGGGGTGGTGGTGGCTGCAGACCCCTCTCTGGGGAGCAAGCTTTAGCCTGGGGGCAGGACTGCATCGAGGTGAGGTGCTTATGCAGTTCTGTACAGCTCCGACTCTGAGACTGCATCAAGGGGGTCTTCTTGTCTTGGGTGCTGTCCATCTAGAGAGGAAAGAGGCCAGAGTCAGGAGAGGGGCCCACACTGCTCTTCCCCTCTGCCCCATCCCTGCAGCCACTGGCGGGGCCCGGTGTTTCTCACCTGGGTCATCGGACAGCCAGGTTTCATTCACTGTATTCCCAGCCTCCAGCACAGAGCCTGGCACCTGGTAGGTGCTGGGCTGATGAGGAATGAAGGGATGACCAATCTCCTAAAAGGTCTGTTGGCCATGGATCTGGCCCCTGCAGACCCTTCCAATTCACTGCCAAGGCCCTCCTCCCCTCCCCACCACCCCTACACCCTTCCCTAACAGAGCCAGAAAGCAGATTAGTGGTTCCCTGAGGCTGGGTGTGGGAACAGGGATTAACTGCAAATGGGGGCACCAGGGATCTCTCTGGGATGATGGAAACGCTACAAAATGGGACTATGATCATGGTTGTACAACTGTAAATATACTAAAAATCACTGATTTGAATTTTTAAAACAGCTGAATTTTTTTTTTGGTAACAGCTTTATTGGGACATAATTCATATACCATATAGTTCATCCATTTAAAGTGTACAATTCAATGGTGTTTAGTAAATTTACATAGTGTGCAACTATCACCACAATCAATTTTAGAACATTTCATCACCTCAAAAAAAAAGGTATCCATTAGCTATCACCCTCCCCCATTAGGAGAAACAGGTGAATTTTATGACGTGTAAATGGCACCTCAATAAAGCTGTTAAAAACAAAAAACAATCAACCAAACCATTCTGTAGCTTCCCACAGGATAAAGGGGAAGATCCTTAGCCAGGTTTTCCAGACTGTTGCTATCTGCTGCCAGCCAGCCCCTCTCCAGCTTTATTCTGTCCACCTGCCCACCCAGAAGCTTTCCTCCCAGTGCAAGCTGTCTCTCTGCCAGAGCGGCTATGGGTGTGCCTCATCTCTCTGGGGAGTTTACTGGTCCCCCAGAGGGCAAACAGCTGGCCTCACAAATGGGCTTGGGTGTTGCCTACTCTACAGGGTGGAAGGGGGCCTGTGTTTCAGGGGGTCAGCCAGGACCAGTAAGGCAGAGCTCCTCAGGGAGCCTGGCAAGGGAAAGGCTTCTACACTGAGCTGCGGCCAAGGGGGACCTGGGCGCCAAACCACCCCCCATTCTGACTTTGTCCCTGAGAGTGTGGAATTGTATGCCACCATCTCCTGGAAGGACAGGTGGGGCAGGTTCAGTGTAGACTGAGTATCAGGAACCCTTGGAAATCCCCTTAATAAAGCTTTCCTTGGGAGGCCGAGGCTGAGGCAGTAAAAGGGACTTGCTTTGACCTTGAGTGTTCACAACTGCTTTAAACCCTCCAATGGCTTCCCAGAAATCCAAATTCCTTACTGTGGCTCCCACAGCCCACCATGATCTGGGTCCTGCTTTCATGGGTCTGTACCCTCCCTGCTAGCTCCAGCACCAGCCTCCTTTCTGTTTCTTTAACCTGTCAGGCGCCTACTCTTCGCCAGGAATGCTCCCCCTACCCCCACTCCCTATACCGGAGCACGACTGGCTCCTCCTCATCCCTCACTCTCAGCTGGCAGGTCACCTCCTCTGGGAGGCCTCCCTGATGACCCCATCTCCCACCCTCCCAGCCCTGCTCACTTTCTAGCTCTTCACCCTAGTCAGTTAATCATCTTTTAAATGTTTTTATATTTCAGCCTGTAACCCCACTAGAACATAAGCCCCATGAGGGCACACCACATCTTCCTTGTCCCTGTTCGAATGCAGTGCCTGACATATAGAAAGCTCTTGGCCAAAAATTTTAAAAGTGTGTAGCAAAGTCCGAGGATGTTTCTAGAACCCCAAATTGGGCTGGGTCTGAAGAAGGAATGCCCATTACATCAACTACAAGGGGTGTGTGAGGAGCAAGAAGAGATGCTGGAAGCTGATTAAAGAACTTGATGACCCCTAACAGAAGCTGAAGGCTGCAGCCCTCAGAAGCTACCTGGGGCCCCGGGCAGATTTTTGGGCAGGTGAAGAAATACCTTAACACAAGGCCGCTGACTTTTGGACCTTGGGCCTGCCAGCCGCCAGGTGTTCCCTTCCTTCTGGATGTCAGAGCTTGGCGTCAGGGAGGATGTGGCAAGGAGCAGCTTCTGCAGCTGAAGGAGAGGCAGAGAGGAGAGGAGCTCAGGCTGATCCACAGCCAGGAAGGGCTTCAAACCAGTTCCTTCTGGTTCGAACCCCTGAGTAACATGAATAGGCAAAAAGGGGAATCAGCTAGAATCCCATATCAAAGAATCATTTTGGTACCCAACCTTCCAGACTTTGTGTGTATATACAGTGAAACCTGTGACAGCTGGCACTCGATGGGATTGCTCTGATTTTCTGGGTCTCAGAAGTTTTCCACCTTTGACAGGGTACAGTCTTGCCATTTCTTTTCATCATTCTCCGTTAGTGGAAAATATGTGAGTTTTCCGTCTCTGACAGGTTTCTGCCTTACACAGGCTCTGGCTTTCGCAGGTTTTACTGTACCACAAGCATATGCAGAGCATTCTGATAGACTATATATATAATATTTTAACAAGTAGAATAGACAGATGTTACCTAAGACCTGTTTGGGTTTCTCCAAGTCACAGGTGTTCTCTTGCTATTAATTCCAAAAAGGATTTACATTTTATTGGGATACCTGTGTTTGGGATTGCCAGACAATCTGCTTTCTGCCCTCAGTATTTTGGGAACATTATCCTAGGTCATTCAATGCCCTCCCTGTGTTCTTCCTGTGGTGACCAGGGTCAGAGTGTGGTGGTCCTGAGACCAGCTCTGTGCCCAGGTCTCTCCCCACAAAGTGGTTCACCATGTACTCTGGATGTGGGGCTTTGAACCAGTTCGTTCTGGTTCAAACCCGATATTACCTTAAAAATTAACATCTTAAATTTCAAAAGTAATGATTGAAAATGGTGGAGGTGGGGGAACCCTATTGCAAATACTGAAGGGTGGACAATTAAAAGCAAGTCTCCCTCCCACCCCAGATCCTCTTTCTCCCTCCCAGAGGCACCCACCATAACCCACTTTCTTGCAAACCTAACACAAGATAAGCTTTGATTATACAAAGATATATTATTATATTACATTATACAAGGGTTATACAAGGATACAGCCTCTCCAACCTACTCAGTTATTTTTACACAAATGGAAGCTTGTCTGACTTTTCAAATTTTTTATAGAAACTATTAAGACTATTGGAACTCTGGTGGCACAGTGTTCAGAACTAGGCTGCTAACCAAAAGGTCGGCAGTTCGAATCCACCAGCCATTCTTGGAAACCCTATGGGGCAGTTCTACTCTGTCCTGTACAGTCACTATAAGTTGGAATTGACTTGATGGCAATGAGTTTTTTTTTTTTTTTTTGTATTAAGACTATTACTAGAGACTACTGAGTTTCTGATAGAAAAAGAATAAAGTGATCTTGTTAAATAAAAGTTATTTATCTAACTGAATATTTTTATTCTAAGGTGGGGAAACCAAGGCCCAGAGAGGCGAGGGACTTGTCAAAACACAAAACACATGCATGACGTGTCAGGGGTGAGCCTGCCCCTGTTCCGGCTGGGCTGCCTCTGCCTCTGAGGGCAGGTGCACACAAACGGTCTCTAAGCCGAGGGAGCAGAAGCTGAGTGCATCTGGAAGTTCCACCAGCAACCCTACCACAGCCAAAGGTGAGAACAAGGTGAGAAACATAATGGGTTTTTACTACAGCATCAAGTGTTTCTTCGGGGGACATACCACCCCAAAGCACCCGAGCCAGGAGCGCCAAAGGCCCAGGAACCAGAAAAAAGGCCAGTCCACACTCTCCCTAGGAGCTAGGATTCCCCCTTCTAGGGTCTCAGGGGTCTGTGGTTCTCTGACTTTGGAGAGGAAAATGATCCGTGGACTGGAGAACGGAGACCCAGTTCTGGCCCCAGCTCAGCCCCAACTCACTGCGAGAGCTCGGTGAAGTCCTTTCCCGCTCTCTGGGCCTTGGTTTCTCCGTTGTACAATGGGGGGTGGAGGGGAAGAGGGAGTAGACTAAATGAATAGATCTAAACCTTTCTTTTTTTTTTTTTAAGGAATCCCTCTAAGAATACAATAAAAGCTGCTGACCTCAGAAAAATGCACAGATATGTCCATGGGTCCAGATTAAGAATTTAGGGGCTAGATAACTTCTCAGAGCCTTTCTAGAACTTTACCAGTATGCTGAGAGTCTACACAGTGAGTCTTTTTGCCCAGTGCCTGAAACCAGAACTTCAAACTGGTTCATTCGGTTCAAACCCCTGCTGAGAATTTGCATTTCCACCCCAGATATATTGAATCAGAATCTACGGTTTAACAAGATTCCCAGGTGATTCTTCTGTTATAACTTCTTGGGAACTTGTTAGAAGTGCAAATTCTCAGCAAACTGGTTTGAAGCCCTGCTTGAAACACAAGTGCTCAATAAATGCGTGTGGAATGAATGAAAGCAGAGTCTAAGGCATGGGAGAGAAATAACATTTCACCAGTAGGGGTCGCTCTTTGCCTCTTGAACGTTTGGTCCCTCTCTAGAGGCCCCGTGCAGAAATGGCACTGAGAATTATTGTTGTTGATACTACTACTAACTGCAGTGCCAGTACTACTACTCAGCTGGCATTTATTGAGCAACTTCTATGTGCCGGGCACTGCAGTAAGTGCTTTACATGCTGTCATCCTCCTAACATCCTTTGAGATGGACACTATTACTAACCCCATCTTATAAATCAGGAAGCTAGGCTTATGTTCCAGGCCTAAGGAACACACAACTGCTCATTGGTGGGGCTGGGATCACAGGCTGTCTGATTCCAGTCTGAAAGGAAGCAGGAGCCACAATATGGGAATGAAAATATTTTCATGCCCAGCATACAGGGGCTTAATAAATAATTTTTCACACTACTTTGGGAAACCTGAGGGCAGTGGGAAACCAGGAAAAGGGTTCTGAACCAGGAACCAGAATACCTGGGCTCTAGTCCGGTTGGCACACTGACTTGCTAAGTGACTATGGGAGAGTCCCTCCCCATTCTGGGCCTCAGTTTTCCCAGAGTTGATAGCCACTAAGGGCCTTTCCAGCGCAAACTCTGCATGACCTAAGAACCTTCTCAGCTCCAACAAGCTAATTTTCCAGCTGAGTCCTGCCAGCCCCAAGGAGTTCCAAGGTGAAGAGCCCAAGATAGACTGAGCAAAGCCCAGACTTCTTACTCCATGATGTCTTGCCTTGGGGTAGAGGGCAACTGCTCTCAGCAGTTTTGAGGGTATAGGTCCCTTTGAGAATCCAGTAAAAGCTGAAAGCCTAGACTTCTTACTCCATGATGTCTTGCCTTGGGGTAGAGGGCAACTGCTCTCAGCAATTTTGGGGGTACAGGTCCCTTTGAGAATCCAATAAAAGCTGAAAGCTGATTCTCCATGCACATTTCCACATTCCACATACACCCATACAGACAGCATTGAATTTTTTTTGCTGGTTGGATTGTAAACCGGTATAACCTCTTTGGAGGGCACTCTGGAAGCACCTGCTGAAACTGAAAATTAATGTATTTGTAGACCCAAGAATCCCATTTCTAGGAATTTGTCCACTTACGTGTGATTGCAACACTGTTGTGACAATGGACGAGTTGAAACAACACAAACATCCGTCAACAGGGGCTGGCTAAATGAATTGTGGTACATCCTTACAAAGAAATACTACGCAGCCAACAAAAAGGATAAAACGGAGCTAAGCAGGCTCATCTGGAAGAGTTTCCAAGACACATGGAAAACTCAGAAAAGCAAGGTGCAGAACATGTATAATGGAAGTTCCCATTTGTAGTTAAAAAAAAAAAGTGTAATAGGAAAGTCACATTAACAGATCAGTAACCACCGGCTACCTCTGGGGAAGGAAAAAGCAATTGTGAGGGGGCAGGTAGGTTTTGCTTTGTACCATCTACAATTCCTTCTTGATTTTTGCCACATGGGTGTATAATCTTTAGAAAAAAATGTTCGCATGTAATTTCAAGGGTTTAACATAGAACAAAGGTTGACCCATGCAATCCCAAAGGGCCTACAGAATCCAGGTGAAAGCCCTCTGTAGTTCATCCAGCTTTACAGGTGGGAAAGGAGACACCGAGGGAGGTCTCCCACTCCCAGCCCAAGGATCTCTGCTGCAAACCAGGTTGCCAGTGACACACAGGGACCCCTATGGGGCTGGGGCTGATTTCTCTGCACCCACAACCCCTACAACCAGACACAAAACCCTAGGCCATCACCACCACTCCAGCAGCTAGATATAGGTTCTTACCAGTGAGAGCTCATCCTCCTCAGGGGTTGGGGCCAGGGGCGTCTCCAGGGAGGGGCTGGGGGGCGCAGACGAGGGGGCAGGTGAAGCTGAGGAGGGTGTGTCGCCACCGTCCAGGGCCGGGAAGGCAGCCAGACCCACGTCATCTTCGGGGATGTCGTCCAGGGTCTTGGTGAGTTCTGCCAGGAGGGCCTCATTCTCACTGTCGATGATCTGAAGTGAGGACCATGGGTGGACAGAAAAGGTGGAAAGGGAGAGATTGTTAGTTGGAACCACGGACTCAGCCGTCTCAAGGAGGAAACCGGTTTTGCACACACAGCTGCACCACCATTACCCTCCTGCCAACACACCGCCACTGCCCCAGATCTGCTGTGTATTCCTGGGATAGTAGATGTTCAATAAATGTGTTATCGACTCCAAGAACCACAGAATTCTAGATCCCACTGCTTCTAGGTGATGATGGAGAGGACCTTGCCCTGAAAGCCCAGTTTTAGTTCTGTTACTCATCAGGCTGTGACCCTGGGTACAGGGCTGTCCTAAATGACACCTGCCCCTCCACCAAGGACAGCAGCCAGCCCCTTGGACACAGCACTTTGGCCACCTAAGGCTGGTCTACCCCACCAGTAAGAGCATCCCACTGCAGGTGCCAGCCCCTTTGACCTCAGGCCCAGGCAATGTGGAGGGCAGAAGCTTCAGTGTTCAACCATGATAGTGACAAATACAGCATAATAAAACAGCTACCATTCCCTGTGGTGTCCGGGCCTTACCTGCCCCATTCCCTCATGGAGAGGCAGCTCATGTGGTGGTTAAGCTCTGGAGCCTGGGGTTAAATCCCAGCTCGGGCACTTACCAACCCTGAGTTCTTGGGCAAGTTATAGTTTTCTCATCTGTCAAATGGGATAATATACCTATACCCCGTAAGGTTATACCCATTGCCATCAAGTTGATTCTGACTCATAAGTGAGTTAATATACGTAAAATGCTTGGGAAATAGTGTCTGATACATAATAAGCACTCATTACTACTACTATTTGGTAGTCCCTGGGTGGTGCAAACAGTTAACATGTTTGGCTGCTAACCAAAAGGTTGGAGGTTTGAGTCTACCCAGAGGCACCTCAGAAGAAAGGCCTGGCAATCTACTTCCAAAAAATCAGCCATTGAAAACCCTATGGAGCACAGTTCTACTCTGACTCACAAGGGCTCACCATGAGTCGGAATCAATTTGACAGCAACTGGTTTTTACTACTATGGCTGCTGCTGTGATGATGAAGATTCCTGCTGTGATGATGATGGTGGTGGTGGTGGCGGCAATTCCTCCTCCTTCCCCTAACATACATGTACTGAATGGCTACTCCGGGTGTGGTCTCATGCTGAGCACTGGTGATTCAGTATGGTAAGTCTGATATGCCCGTGTCCTCATGGAACTTACACTCGAGTGGAGAATGGAGTAAACAGGTGAACAAAGACCATTTCAGAGAGAAGGGCTGGAAAGAAAATAAAAGGAAGCTGTCATGGAGAATAAGAACGTGAGGAAGATTTGCAGGCTACTTAGGGCAGTCAAGTAGGCTTCTCTGAGCAGCTGATACTGAAACTGAAGCCTGAAAGATGAGAAGCAACATCCAGGCAAAGGGCTGAGGAACAAGGATTCCAAGCAGAGGAATTCCAGTGCAAAGGCCTGGGGCCAAGAGCTTGAAGGATGAAAGAAAAGAAAGAAGGCTTTGTAAATATTGCCTTGGGGAACCTCACCACAACCCCTGTGAGGGTGGTGCTATTGTAATCTCCATTTTGCAGGTGAGGAAACTGAGGCACATGGAGGTTCAGCAACTTGTCCAGGGTCACATAGCAAACAAAGGGAAGGGCCAGGACTTGTACAAGCACACCATGCACAGATGAACCAAGGCTCTTCCTTCTCTGATGGTCTTAGATCTATAACCCGCGTCAGTGTGCACCCCCACATCACCCATATATACACCCCCAGGCTACCACAGACACCAACCCACGGCCCCCTACACTCAGCCCTACCCTCAGCCCTAAAGCCAGCGGCCCTGGAGCCCAGAGATCACACCGCTTCTGCATGATGCCCTGAGCGCCTCATTTAGTAAACTCCGGCTCTCGGCCCATTCTAGCAGAAGGCACTTTCTGTCACATGATGCCTCCCCAGCACTCATTCCCATCCCAAGTCAGGCTGTTATCCTTTCCTCAGGAAGTTCATCTGAAATACGTGTCTCGTGACTGCCTTTTGGCTGCACTAAATCTGTTCCAGGCCTTGTAGTCGGAGCGGCAGCTGAGTAATTCCAAGGGGGGGACTCGGGGAGAGAAGAACAAACGTGTTTGTCATTTTTGGAACAGTGCTAAGAATAAAAGAAAGGTCGAAAGAAGTTTAGGGGTGGGCCTGACCCAGGCCCCAGGGATGGGAGCTCAACGACCAATCCGGACCCATTGATTCTGGCTGTAGAATGTAATGAGGCTCCCTTGGCTGCCTAGGCTACCCGCAGGCCTCCCTCAACTCTCAGGCCAGACCTCCAACCCTGCATTCCCGGAACAAGTTGTCCAGCCTGATGGGAGTTAAGATCCTGGAACTGGGGGCTCAATGACCACTCTTGGGACTGACCACGTGGGACTCTACCACTGACTGGGTGACCTTGGGCAAGCCATTTCCCTGGCCAGCTTCCCTCCCATTATGGTGAAGGCCAAGTCTTGAAGTGCTGATAAAACTGTTTTGTAGAGTGCTCTTGTCCTAGCTCAGGGCCTGGGGCATGGGAGGCACCCAAACAGATTTGTTGAATGGAAGAATGAATAAACAAAACAATGACCTCTGGCAACGGAGAGAGACTGAGAAGAGTTTCTCAAAGAACACATTCTAGAAAGAATGCAGAATAGCACTGACCAGGCTAGGATGAAATGAGAATTCCCTTTCACAGGGAGAGTAGCAAATGGCCCAGATATGAGTTATCACAAATATCAGAGCTAGAAGGGCCCTTAGGGATCATGTAGTAACCAGTGATTTAAACACAGGGCATGCTTGCTACTGCTTCCCGTTCCTTTGCCCATGGCAGGCATCACTAATCAATTGTGGCACCCACTCCTTCAGCGCCACCATCTTTCTTGACTTGCCACACTGCTCCAGGCAACAACTACCAATCAATTGCAGCTGGCACTCAGGAGGAACCCTAATTGCGATACTTTTAGTTCAATCCTCTCTTTTTATGGACTGGGGAAAATGAAGCCCCAGGGAGGGAAGAGGCTTGTCAAGGTCATCCAGCAAGCCAGTGGTGAGATCAAGGACTAGAACCCAGGACTTACAGAATAACACTTCCTGAGACCTCACCAAGGGTCCATCAGGCTGGGTGGAAACAAAAATAACTAACAGAAGCCCTCGCCCTTCTCCCCCACTCTTCCCTGGGTGGGTCCAGCTTCAGAGGAGCCAGGCAGGGTTTGAGGCCCTAACTCTGGATGGGAAGAAGGCCCTCTCCTGCCCACAGCTGGCCCCAGCACCCTATGGTAATACATCACAGGGGAATAGAGCCACCCCTCTCCTCTTTCCGGGGCCCATCAGCTTGACTCTCTCTGCTCCGGTTAGAAACGGAGTGCAAATTAATGGAGAGTTAATCAGCTGAGGAAGGAATATTAATAGACTCAGCCCCACCCCCAACCTTCCTGAGCTGATCTCAAGCTGGAGGAAAGGAGCCCTTAAGTAATTTAAGGAAAAATGCTTCATTTTGAGGGCTCAGAGTGACTTGAAGGAATGTCACAGCGCAGAATTTAGGCTCTGAGGGCCGGAAGAACATTCAGAGATCCTCCCCTGTTCAGGGGGTTTAACTGGGCCTGGGAAACCCGGGAAAGTCAGGATCTATACATTTTTCGAGGATTAGGTACATAGCTTCCTTCAGAGTCTAAAAGGACTCAGTGACACCTCCCCCCTACCCCACACACAACAGGTTAGGAAGCACTGATATAGTCCATGTCCTGTCCTCATTCCTCCATGGGGAAACTGAGGCCCAATCAAAGGGAGCGACTTGCCCAAGGCCACACAGCAAATTGCAGCAGAACAACCGAATGTCCGCATACTCCAAAAATATTTCCTGAGTGCCTTTTGTGCCCCTGGCCCTGGGGACTCTAGGGCACACAGAGAAACTGAAGGCCATGTCCTTGTCCCCAAAGAGTCGTCAATCCTTGTCACTGAGCCTGGTTCTCCACGATCCCAGTGTGTTTCCATAGCAATGTGCCATTTATTGTTACAACACGGCTGTGATGTAGGTAGAACAGCTCTATAATTCCCACTGGCCAAATGAGGAAACTGTCCGAGCTGGTGACAAGAGGGAGGATCAGTACCTGTGACCCCTGAAACCCAGCCCAAAGTTTTGGAATGGGTCATGTCTGGCCTTTGGCAGGAAAGAAAATATTATAACCAGCTCCTTCACTCAACAAGTAGGAATTAAGTCCTTAAAATGTGGTAGGGCCCTGGGGATGAATGTCTTTTTGTCCTCAAGGAGCGCATGGTCTGAAGTGAAGGACATACACATGTGCACACACGCATACACACACATGGCTCCAGGTGGTAACACAAACACAAATGTGATGGGAGCCCATGAGAGGAAGTAACTGATCAACTGCCTTAGGAAGGGCCAACACAGGAGCTGGGCAACGAAAGATTTATTCATTTGATAAATATTTATTAAGCCCTGACAAAGTGCCAGGGACTTTGAGAATACAACAGTGAACAATGTGGACATGGCCGCATGCTCACGGAGTTTACGGTCTTGGGGGAAAGAGAGGCACGAATCAAATAACCACACGCATGGAGGGTGCATCCGTGTGTGATGAGCGGGCTGAGGACTCTGACTTCCTCACAGGGCTGTGAGCTGGGGGGCTACATCAGGCTTACTCGTGTCTAAAACCATGTCATGCACATAGCAGGACCTCCACAGGGGGTTGCTGGTGAGTCTAGCCCAGCCTCCGAGTAGGCTGGGGGCCTGAAAAGTCTAGGTGGGTACTGGTCTCTGGAGCATGCAGCATCTCAACCCCTTTCATCCATTACCTCTCTGTGACCTCAAAGCACTTTCTGGAAGGTGGCCCCCTATGAGGGAGGGAGCAGCACAGTGTAGGTACCCTCCCCAGTGGAGGAAATGGAGGTCTCTGGGTGCAGCCAGAACTAGAGCCCAGTCCTCTAACTCCTAGTCCAGAGCTCTTGCCACTGTGGCCTGTTGCCTTCATTCTCTGAATCCTCACAGGGTTAGCTGAGGGGTTTGGTGTAGTAGTGAAGGCCTTGGGTTCCTAGGTTAGAGTCTTTGCCTTGACCATTCCTGGCTATGTGACCTTCAGCAACTTACTTAACCCCTCTGAGCTTCATCTTCCTTATCTGCAAAATGGATTAGTAATACTTTTCACATAGGTTAGAAGAGTCTCAGGAAAAGTCCAAACTCCTTTCCATGGCTCACAAGGCCTTTCGTGATCTGACCCCTGCTCACCTCCTCAAAGCTACTTACTACCTTTCAGCCCTACTCTTCCTCCAGCACATGAAGCCTTTCCTGCTTCATGGCTTTGCACTTAACTGCTTTCTCTGCCTGGAACGCTCAGCCCCTGCTCTTTGATCTTCCTGTGGCTGCCTCTTTCCCATCTTCCCACTACTAGCTGAATGTCTTCTCCTCAGAGAGGCCTTCTCTGACCACCAGCCTTTAGGTTCTTTTCCCATCCCCAGGTTGATGGCTTTCTGTGCACTTGTCACAAGTGACCACTGTTTCTTTATATATTTATTGCTAAGGAAAGTCTCCCCCTCTAGACTGTAAAGTCCACTGATGGATGCAGTGCCTGACACACAAGGGGAGCTCAATAAACACTTCCAGAATGAATGACAAAGTCCATCAGGAGGACTACATGAGATGGTGCTCATGGCACAGCAGCACAGCATCTGGCCTGCAGTAAGTTGTTGTTGGAAAGCAGTGGTAGTTCAGCTTCCATGCAGGAGACCTGGTTTGATTCCTGGCCAATGCACCTCATCCGCAGCCAACACCTATCTATTAGTGGAGGCTTGCATGTTGCTATGATGTGGAACAGTTTCTAGCGGAGCTTCCTGACTCCGCTTGACTAGGAAGAAAGGCCTGGCGATCTACTTCCGAAAACCCTATAGATCACAATGTCCAACCTACAACCGATCATGGGGATGGCACAGGACTGGGCGATGTTTTGTTTCATTGTGCCTGGCGTTGCTGTGAACTGGGAGCCAAGTCGATGGCAGCTAACAACAACAACAAGTTGTTATCATTATTATAAGATTGCCCGGTAGGCACAGGGAGCTATGGCTTTTACCCTCAATCTTCACAGAGGAGGAAATTTCAAGAAAAGAGTAATGAATCTCCATGTACCCATCACGTATCAGCTTCAACATGGTTGATCTTACTTCATCTATTACCCTCCACGACCCCCACACACACATACGTGCATGCACACACACACACACACACACACACACACACACACACACACACAAACGCACACAAAGCTTGCTTTACTCGGAAGCACATCCCAGTGTATTATTCCATATAAGAGGCCTTCTGAAAGGAAATATCAACCATCACGTGTGCCTAAGGCCTGGGCATGGGGCACAGAGGGTCACGAGAGGCTCTGCCTCTATTTAATGGACCTCTGGTTGCATCTGAAAACTGGAGATAACGGTACTACTCACTGAGAGTTGCTGAGAGAATCAAACGCATGAATACGTACAATGTCCTGCCACAGAGCAGTTGCTCAGTAAATGTGAGTCATTCGAATTATGGTGTCGTCATGGTTATAAAGTCTGGCTCAGGAGGCAGGCAGACTGGCTGAATCCAATGCAGCTACTGAGAAGACAAATGACTTTAACTTCTCCAAGCCTCTGTTTCCCCCCATTTCACATCCCCCTGTACCATGGGGGAAATGATCGCGCCTGCCTCACAGAGTTGTGATGAAGATTCAATGAACTAATATAGGGAATAGAGAACTTAGACCCCAGCTTGGCCCACAGAGGGGCTCAGTGCTGACTGCAAGGCATAGAGACCACAGTTCTTCCCAGGCCTCACTTTATAGAGGCTTGGCAAGGGCGCGAAAGCTGCCCAAGATCACAAAGAATCAGGTGCAGATCCAGGACAAGAACCAGGGCCCAAAGAGCTTTGGCAGGTGAGGGGACTTCTTCGCATGAACAGGTGGTGGAGGACGTACCTGGAAGAGCTCGGAGTCATCGGGGCTGTACTGGTTGGGTTCTGTCTCAGAGTTCTCCGGGCACCACTGCAGCTCCCCGAAGCAGGTGGTCGAGTCGAAGTCACTGGCATCCAGCTGGGAGAGGTCGAGCTCTGGAAAGTCAGCACAGAGTTGCTCTTCCCCAGACCCTCCAACCTGAGGAGACAGGAAGGAAGGAAGAAAGCAGGTCAGAGCTGAGCCTGGCTAGACCCAACAAGGACCCCTTACTCACAATGCAAAGAGCACAGAACCTCAGCTGCCCTTGGCCAAGGCCTGATTTTGCAGCTCAACCAAGAAATGCAAATGTCTGCCCTGTCCCTCTTCCCTTTAGTCATGCTGCAATTGTTGAGTCTACCAAGTTCTAGGAGCTAAGCCAGGCCCTGGTAATAGAAATCTTCCTATCACTTTTGCCCTCCTTCTTTGTACTCCCAGAAATCCCTCAACGCCCTGCCCATATGGTACTTCTTTTCTTTTACCAGAACTCTTTTGTTGAAAGCCTATTAGAGACTGTATACAGAGTTACTACTTTACATAACTGCCTCCACCTAAAAGGGCATTTCTTGAAGTCAACAATCCCTCTATATTAATAATTAAACAACCACAACCAAAAAAAAAAAAAAGAGGTAATAGTAATAATGGCTAACATTATTGAGTGATTACTATGTTCTGGAAAAGCACTCACCCATGTTCTCAGGGATTTTATAGGAATGTTCACTGAAGTGCTGTTAGTAATGGCTAAAATATGGAAGACCACTCATCAGTAAGGCTATGGGTAAATAAAACTATATCTTAACTGAAGTCCAGGATATCACAGAATACCACGGCACTGTTGAAAAGAATGAGGCAGAGCTATGTGTTCTCCAAGACATGTTAAATGAAAAACCAAGTTGTAGAATATCAGCATGTAGAACATTATCCCACATGTGTAAAGAGAATGAAATAAAATCAAACTACACATTTCTCTTTGTACAATAATACGTATGCAAACGCACAGGAAAAGATCTGGAAGGTTAGACATCCACCTGACAGGGATGATAAAGTGATGGAGGGGCAGGTGGAAGGGAGTCACGGGGGAATCTGGCAACAGTATTATCTGGATCAATGGTTCTCAAAGTGAGGTCCCACGACCAGTGGCATCAGCATCACCGGAGAACTTGCTGGAAATGCAAATTCTCAGGCCCCACCCCAGACCTACTGACTCAGGTGACCAGTGTCTCACTCCGAACTCCCAAGTTTAACAGCCACCAAAAGAAGTGTTGCCCTGCAGATCTTCAGAGGTAGTCTGGGTTGGGAGGATGACACAGAAATAGAATACGGTAATAAAGAAGGTTGGCCCTGGGCTCTGGCAGACCTGAATTATATATAATCCTCACTCACCAGCTGTGAGACCTTGGGCAAGTTCCTTCACCTCTGTGAGGCTCAACTGTGTCATCTGTAAAATGTATGGTTACTGTGAAGATTACATAAATGGGCAATGGGATAGCCTGGCCTAGTAAGCACTCGATAAATGTCAGCTAAGCTAACAGCAATGGTCACAAACAACAATAAACAACCGTGCTTTACGGCAGACAGAAAAGCCAAAAACACCAAACTCATTGCCATTGAGTCGATTCTGACTCATAGCGACCCTACAGGACAGTGTAGAACTGTCCCATAGGGTTTCCAAGGAGCAGCTCGTGGATTTGAACTGCTGACCTTACAGGGGTGGAAACCAGGGCTTCAATCCCCTCAAGGAACAGGTTCAAAACCCCTACTGAGAATTTGCATTTCTAACAAGTTCCCAGGTGATGCTAATGCTGCTGGTTAGGGAGCAATTCTAGCAGAGCAGTGGTTCTCAAAATTTATTATACATAAGAATCACCTGGGGACCTTGTTAAACTATAGATTCTGATTCAGTATAGCTGGGGTGAAAATGCAAATTCTCAGCAGGAGTTCGAACCAGAACGAACCAGTTCGAAGCCCTGGTGAAAACTGCCAAAGAGAACAAAAAAAAGGCTTATCTGACACAAAAGAAATAGATTTTGCCCAGGCCTTTTCCTTAATTGTTCCCACTTACTAGGCCTCATAAATTATGAATAAATGTATATTATTAGCTCAACTTGACACAGGAAAAAGGCTTTTATCCAAATTTGGGTCAAATGTCTTAATTGGCATTTTGTAGGAATCCTGCATGCAGCGGTTCCCTCAGTGGCCGGTCCCCACTCCCAGGCTAGGCACAGTCTCCGTCCCCAGGGACAGTCCCCTACTACCCTTGCCCACAGTTATCTGCCCTCCATCTGCACTTTCTTTCTCCAACCCACATGTATTCACCAACCAGAAACACTGAGCACCAGATACTCTGATGAGGCACTATGCTGGGTGCTGGGCTACAGCCAGGCGTGACACAGACTAAACCTCTGCCCTCTTGGAGCCAACATGTTGAGGGGCAACACTACATGAGAAAAATAGCTACACAGATAAAATATGTGATTCTAAATTGTGACTGAGGCATTGATGGTTCAGTGCTGAATTCTTGCCTTCCACACGGAGGACTTGGGTTCGATTCCCGGCCAATGCACGCCATGCACAGGCACCGCCCATCTGTCAGTGGACGTTTGCATATGTTGCTATGGTGTTGAACAGGTTTCAGTGGAGCTTCTAGACTAAGACGGACTAGGAAGAAAGGTCTGGCAATCTACTTCTGAAAATTAGCAACGAAAACCCTATGAATCACCATGGTCCGAATAGCAATCGATCATGGGAATGGGCACAGGACCAGGCAGCATTTCATTCCATTGTGCATGGGTTTGCCATGAGTCAGGGAGAAGACTTCCATAACAACACTTCTGAACCTGGTTGGGGAGTCTGCAGGTGAGACAGACACAAGCACTGCCATAAGCTCCGAGTCTCTAAGGTAACCCCATCCCCCAACTAAGCCCCTGACTGTTATCTCTCCCCCTCAGCCCTACCTGTCCAATATCCTATTGCTCACCACCAGTACTCGACTGCCACCACCCCAGGGAATACTCGGGTGGATTTTTCTCAGCTGTCTCTTGGGAGCTTTTTTTTTCCTTCCGGCCCAATCAGACTGTGGCGATACAGCTGTTTTTGCCTGTTCTGGATGGACAATTGGCTTATTAATAGTTTTGGGTGATTATGAATAAGTCTATACTATTCATGTATACTTCTTTATGGAGACACATGCTTTGGTCGCTGGGTGGTGCAAATGGTTCACACTCAACTACTAACCTAAAGGTTGGTGGTTAGAACCCACCCAGGAGCACCATGGAAGAAAGGCCTGGCGATCCACTTCCATACAGATTACAGTCAAGAAAATCCTACAGGATACAGTTCTACTTTGTAACACATGGGATCACCATGGGTTGGAATCACCTCAACAGAAATGGATTTGGGTTTTTTTGTTATTGTTGTTGGGTAAATAACCTAGAATTGCTAGGTCATACAGTAAGTGTATGTGTAACTTTATACAAAGTACAAAATTGTTCTCCAAAGTGGATGTGCCATTTTACACTCCCATCAGCTGTCTGAGAGCTCCAATTGCTCCATGTCCTCACCGACACTTGGCATTGTCAGTCATTTAGCCTTTCTAGTGGGCACATTCAAGCACTTATTAAATGCTACTATGAGCCAGGCATCGTGATAGGTGCTGATATACAGTCCCTTCCTTTGTGAGTTGACATCGTAGTGGGGGAAGCAAACCAACAAGTAAGAAAACACATAAGTATTTCATTACACATTGTGTTAGCACTATGAAGGAAACACACCAGCTGTCATGGATTGAATTGTGTCCCCCCAAAATATGTATCAGTTTGGCTAGGCCATGATTCCCAGTATTGTGTGATTGTCCACCATTTTGTCATCTGATGTGATTTTCCTATATATTATAAATCCTGTCTCTACGATGTTGATAAGATGGGATTAGCAGCAGTTATGTTAATGAGGCAGGACTCAATCTATAAGACTGGACTGTGTCTTGAGCCAATCTCCTTTGAGATATAAAAGAGAGAAGTGAACAGAGAGACATGGGGACCTCATACCACCAAGAAAGCAGGACCCGGGACAGAGCATGTCCTTCAGACCCGGGGTCTCTGTGCTGAGAAGTTCTTTGACCAGGGGAAGACTGACGACAAGGACCTTCCTCCAGAGCCGACAGAGGAAGAAAGCCTTCCCCTGGAGCTAGCACCCTGAATTCAGACTTCTATCCTGCTAGATTGTGAGAGAATAAATTTCTCGTTGTTAAAGTCGTCCACTTGTGGTGTTTCTGTTATAGCAGCACTAGATAACTAAGACACCAGTGTACTGGTGGAGGACAACAGAGGGGACCTATATTAGAAAGAGGTGTCAAGAAAGTCTTCCGGAGGAGCTGCCATCTAAGTTGAGACCCAAAGGAGGGTGAGTCAGGCAAGGGAAGAGTAGGGAAGAGCCTTCTAGGCAGAGGGACCAGCAAAGGCCAAGACCCAATCCTAGAACATTTGAGGCACTGAGCAGAGGTCAGTGAGGCTGCAGTTCAGTGAGTGAGTGGGTAAGAGAAGATAACATCAGAGAGGCAGGTGAAAGCCAGATCTGGCAGGGATCGCAAAGGGTTTGGATTTTACTCCAAGTGTGATGGAGATGGGCAGCATAGAAGCCATTGTAGCCACCCAGGAGAGGGGCAGGTGACGGGGCTAGGGAGGCCCTGCTCTGATACCATAGGGGGCGTGTGGAGCAGGAGGGGGCCAAAAGCAGAGACACAGGGTGCTGGGCAGCTGGGGCCCCCCTGGCCAGCAAGGCCCCCAGTGATAAGCTCTCTGGGACCTCTTCCCACATGTTCCTGTGCCCTCATCCCTGCTCTGAGCCACCTCTGTAGGACTTGCTTCTTGGGGCTTAGAAACAACGTTTAAATCAGAGTCCCAGGCCAGCCAGGACCCAGAAGCCCTGAGAGGTTGCCCGGGCAAGTTGCTGTGGACAATCTGGGGGTCAAAAGCCCCTTCAAGAACCAGAGAAAAGCTATGGACACTTTCCCAAAAAAAATGCATGTGTGCACATGGAATTTATACTTTAATTCCAGGCCTTCCTAGACCCAGCTTAAGAACTCCTGACCTAGTTGGTCTACTACCTTCACTTTATAGATGTGGAAACTGAGGCCCAGGGAGGGTACTGGATATGTCCAGGGTCAT